CCTTCCAGGTTAAAAATTCTGATTCTCAATCATGAATAATCAACATATGCTTTTACTTCTTCACTTGGAAGGACATATTGGTATATTTTGAAGTTTAGCCATATTGTTGTTCTTTCCAAAAGACAACTCCCATACTAAAGGTGCACCCCATCACATGTCAGGAATAACACAGCTTAGTTTAAGCTACGAAATTAAAGTACAAACAGCGGTAGATTTGGTATGACCTAACTCCTGGGACTTTGTTTAAAAAGTCAAATATTATACATACATATTTTTTCCTTGTTCGAGTTTTCAATGAACTCTGCCACTGCAGCTTAAGGGAGATTAAGGGAAAAAAACCTACCTAAACACAAAGCAAAAACCTGAGCTTGTGTGTAAAGCTACTGCACTGGGGCGAATGTGGTTTAATTCTTGGCACTGGCAGCTTATTGGAGAATTACAATATGTTGGCATGAGTCTCTAGGTCTCATTGTTCCAGATGAGGGAGTCAGTCTTAAGAGTGTTTGGCACTGAAGGGAAAAAGGAGTGAGAGTTATAGGGAATGAACAGGCCCTAAAGAGGCAGGATGCCTTTGTAACAATGGCTGGCACAGTTGGGGGGGCCATTCACTGGTGAGGATTGCAATAGGCGTTGATGTGAAGAAGCATATGTGAGCAAAAGAGGCAAGGGTGAGAAGGGAAAAGCAAGCAAACATATCAAAAGAGTCCTGATGGCAGAAAGAGACAAAAGTAATGCAGTTAGAGTCATCTTAGTATTAATGGGTTGACTGATAAGGATATCATTGCTTTCTCTGTAATTTATCTTACAGCTTATTTATTTTCTCTTTTAACATGTGTACATATTTTCCTTTCCCCTAAGGAGACAGATCCTTGAATTAGGAGGCGTGGTTTTGTAGTCCATATATTCTACTTTCTGGCTAGGTGAGGCTGGGCAGAGCATCTTTCTGAGCCTTACCTTTCTCATCTGCAAAATGGATATAATAATAATATGTACCATTGACAAAATTGTTGTATCTGACAACATTCTGTAAACTGAAATGCTATGCAAATAATAACTACTGTTATCTCTCACACTTGTTTTAATATAAGGAGCCCTAGCATTTGTTATGATGGTAATCATGGTACTCCAGTGCTTGGGAGAAGTAAATCTCAGGAGACTCTTTAAAAGTGTTTAAAGGAAAACTATGACACATCTTAACATGCAAATAATGGGTAATCCAGAATTTGAACGTTTGGAAATAACTATATCCACAAACATACCATACTCACAGTATAAAATACAATTCTACATGTATGTTTTTTAAATCACATTTTAGAAAATGGAATATTTAATAAGTAACTACTATGTCTTTTACTTTATAAGTACTGAAGCAGCACTTACATGATTGTGTCAAATTTCACTGTAATCATATTCACACATTCATGAACAGATGTATTATAAATATTGGGATTTTTCCATTTGATCTTTTTCAGTTCTAATAATTTATATTCTATGGGATCTTTACCATTTTCAGAGAAATTCAATCATTGGTACATGTCCATCCATTGTGCTCGTTATCGTGAGATCATTTCTTGCCACTTCTTCATATAGTGGAACAAATTGAAACATTAGCAGTTGGTAGAGCACTGGATGTGGATTTGCTTAAAGCTCTTTGTTTCACAGTAATTCAGATAGAGAGGTGAAGTGGGTGAAATGATGTGCTCTTAGTCCCCCAGAGCTAGCCAGTGTCAAAGTCATGGTGAGAACCCAGATTGTTTGACTTATAGCCCGATAGTCCTTCCACTATGTGAATACATTTTCATTTCATTGTGTATATCTGTTATATCATCATAGATTTTCCTTAAATTGTCCAGAATTCTAAAGTGCAAAGTCATATAGTGGGACTACATTCTGAACGTAATGAGAACTGTAAGAAATCTTGGCTTTTAATCCCATCATGCTGGTCATAGGTGCATGTCGCCCTGGGAAATTCGATTTATCCTTTCAAGTTTCACTTCATCCATCCAATGGAGTTAATAACAATAGTTTTTTCGACTATCCAGGCCTGTTTTACAGATGAAGTGAAGTAATATGTGTGTACTAGAAAGAGCAAAGACTTTGGGATCCAGTAGGTTGAACTTAGCTTCATCTTGGGCAAGTCATGGTATTTCCTTAAGTTCCAATTGGTTTCTTAAATGGTAAAACAGATGTACCAATATCTAATTCAAAAGATTATTGTGAGCAGGTTGAGATAATACTTGGAAAGGACCTGGTAAACTGCTTAGCACTTAGCCCTCAAAATAGTAGCTGTCGTTATCATGTCATTGTCGACAAGAGAGTTAAGAATTTGTAGGGGAAAAAAAAAAACTTAGTTCAAGACTGTACTTTGCCCAATACGTTTTGTGAAACCTCAGACGAGTCCCTTTTTTGCCTTTTTTTTAACCTGTAAGATGGATATAATAACACAATCTGAGTCTTCATGTATTTGCTATGATTAAATGAGAGAATACAGGTGAAAACATCCAGTATAGTTCCTGGCACATAGGCTGCTCGAGAAAGGTTTATTGAATCTGAATTTAAAGTATATACCTCATCCAAATTGCAAATATTAGTGTCTTTATTCATTCACAGACATGACAACCTTGAGTTAGATATGTTTCTGATTTTACATCTTCCAAATTACTTGGTCTTAAAGAAGTTATTCATTTTTCTGAGGTATATGTTAAAAGTCAGGTACTTGAAAAAAGTGGCTTTGTATACAAGCCTTATATCTTCATGCAAGTTAATAAAGAGGCCAGGAATGTTCTGCAGGTTTCAGAAATCTGGCGGCTGTTTCTTTAACTCTGTAACTTAGACAGAAGACTTCTGTTTCTTTATGAGCACACTACAGTGAATATTTTGTCTAGCTGCAGGGGAAAAGCTTTGTCATGGACTTTGCAGACAATAGCCTTAAAAGTAAAATGGTCTGCTTTTGGTGCCGGGAGGTTCAGGGGCCTATTGTTAGTGCACAATGGATTTCTATTGCTGCATTCCTGCTTTGCAAAGGTTTGTTAGCTTTTAATGACTGACAGTACTCTATTGCAAATACCATATTGGCTGTGCCCTGTTTACATGCTACTCAAGAATTTTTGTGAGTGCTGGAAAAAAGAAACAGTGGTGTTTGTTTGACCTACTCCGATAAGGTTTTAAAAATGATTTTGCTAACAAAGTGTTTACTGGGAATGTAGAAACATTGGAAATTCTTGCAGAAGTATTTTAAAGTCACTTTTAAAGCCACAATGAACAGAAATATTGATTACAATAAGAAGAGATTTAATACATTTTATTACCCATAGAATTGTCATTACCATTTTCAAAACAATATCGTATAGAAATAGAGAAATTTTGAGAAAAAGTAAAAAATTCTTTAGGATCTTTTTACCTTTTTCCTTAAATGTGAAAAATGGAGAGATGTATTTTGTTACAAAGCAAACAAAATACATTTCACACATCCCATAGTGAATGTGCGCACAGTAGTTATATGGTATGTATGTGTGTATACACACACACACACACTGTATACATATACGTATATATGTATACATATACTTTGCACCATACAGTCAGACTACATAAAGCAGTAATCATTCAGAGCTTTTCACCATTTTATTTTCCACAAGTTTTTGACATCTGAAGAAGCATTCCATGTTGTCACAGTTTTTCCAAAGAAAATTTCATCTCTGCTTTGTTGAAAACTTCACACAGCCTTTGGGACTCTAATAGCTGATGGCTGTAAGATGAGGGCCTGAGAAAAGTAGATAGCATTAGCCAAAGATGATGATGAAGACGCCTTAGAATGCATTTTACTGTGGGGAAAATTAACCAGTTTCTAATAATCTTATGGTCTCTAGGCCAGACGGTCCCTTTGATAAGTTAACATGTACTCCCTTTATGCTCCTAGTAGGGGGTAAACAAATGTCTGAACAAACACAAATACACATAAACACCAGTGTGGAGAATAGCAGTGTGTGTCTTAGATCTAGATAATAAGTGTGGGTATTGTTATTTAGATGGAGCATACTGGGACACTTATCTTTTAGTACACTCCATTTTCTAACTGAATGCAGTGCTAATCGTGGGATTGAAAGCCATTGTAATTGTGTACCCATCTAAATGCTGACAAGAATATACAATTACATTGTTTGGAACTGAGTTTAATGTTTGGGAGTTTTATTAGCATTTATATTTACTTATACATTAAAATTCAACACAAAAGGAGAGGTCAAAAACCATGTGATGTATAGAAACACATATCAGACTAAAGCATAACCTTGCTCTCTAAAATATGTGTGCGCCGTCCCAATACAGGGCATTTTAAAAGAGTGTCATACAAATCTGAAATAAGCAAATAATAGGTTTCCATTATAGGCATTACTCACTTCTCTAGATTTTGCAATCTTTGTAAAGCTTCTTTTATACCAACTTTTTTTTTTTTAATGTTCGCGGTACTGGCAGATCTTTCCACAGTGTGCTTACCACCACACGATGTTAAACACATATTATAAAGTGGATGTAATTGTAAACACACAGAGGGATATAATTACATGTAGCAGATTTAAGAGCTAATTCTTTGCCTTTTTTTTTACTCTGCATTTTATCAACATAATTATTTTTTGACTGCAGACTAACACCCTGAAATTGACAAGCATCTATTATAGCAGGAATTTGTTCACCAAATTGAAAAACAATGAACTGCAGGTTTATATGTACCCATTGTCATAAAGAATTAGTACGGCTTTGTTCCGCAAGAGGAAAAAGCTAATGATTTTGAAACAGCAGGTGACAAAACACATTCTTTTTTTCCTCCCCTGTTATCAGTTTGTTGATGAAGTCATTATGAACTGGGGCCGGATGGGGATGGCCTTATTTTTAGCAGATAGACTTTTTTTTTTTTTTTTTTTTTTTAGCAGATAGACTTTTAATGAGCTCCATTGTAAAGATAGTCATGTTGATTTGCTTGCTTTTTTTTTTTCTTTACTTAGAAACCCCCAGTATTGAAAAGCTGCTCTCAAAGGACTGGAAAGACAAGCTTCTCGCAATGGGATCAGGGAACTTTGGTGAAATAAAAGGTAATATGTTTGCAGTTATTTTGATCCAATATGTACCACAATGAAGTTGATATTTAGGAATATTAACGGTGATAAAGTACTTCTGCCCCCACTCCTTTCTGCCTCATGCATTCTCTGTCTTTGGTGTTTCTTCTTTCTAGCTTGAAAGATTTTCTTTCTTTCTTTGTGCCGTATAGGGTAAAGGATATGTTGTTTTAACAGAATAACCGCACTATATCTTTAACAGGCTTTGGCTTTTATCATATTTTAAAATTTACATGATTAACTTTGTAAGTAGGAATGTATCTACAGCAGGGTTATAAACTGTGTATTATGAGATGATTTTATGCGTTCTACATATTAGAAGTATGAGTATACAAAATCTACATTTAAAACCAGAAATAGTGAATGAGGAAAGCTTAATAAAAGGTTGTTTTGTTCTAACAAGGGCAACATTTTTGGTTTGGTTTTATTTGAGTCAGAAGTTTCATACAAATAAGAGAAAAATTCTATTACGGACTTCAGATGATACTGAGTATTTATATCTTAGTGAACTTTTACTAATAACAAGGGGAGAAGATTTAATTTCTCATATAAAAATAGAATCAAATGATCCTTTCAATTAATTTGAAGTGTGTTTTCTCAGGGCATAGTGGGCAATCTATGGTTTTCTATTTGTTGCCAATAGAACACTTTTGATTCTGAGTTCTAAAGGATTAATTTTAAGAAAAAATACTTATTCTTCAACATTCAGATATTTAGTTATATATTACTTTGTATATTTTTGATAGAGGCTGAATATATATTTAAAATACCGCCCGATTTATGTTAATATACATGTAGAAATATATGTATAAATAACTTTTTTGCATATATGTGTATGCACATGTGTTCTCCCACTAAGAGAGGCAATTTCTCTTAAGGCCCTACTGTATCAGAGCATCCTGGAGACAGGCAAAGTATAAATCAGTCTTCTCAAATGTTTGGCCTACATGACACTAACATCTCAGTATTTGGAAACTTCTAGACAATGTTTAACTGAATATTTTACTTTCCATCCATGTGTTTGGAGTTTACATATATTCAGTCTACAATTAGGTGTAAATGGCTGGTGAGAGAATGAATGGGTGCTAATCAACAAATTCGTTAATCAAAATCTATAATGGAATCAAATTCTAACAAATAATGATTAATGTACTTTAAAGAGCTTGAAGACAAAGTTTAAAGAGAACAGATAAGTTTCTTTTTCTGAGGCAGCAAATCCTTTGTGTTATTTTGTTGGATTTTAACGCATTTGCACCTGAGATAATAGGATGTATTCTCCAAGGTTCTTTATTCTCCTCTGACCCAGGTAATCACTGAGAGTAGAGCAGGGAAGACTGCCTGTTCCAAGCCTTGTGATCTCATTCCATTGGAGGACAAACATTTTTCCCTCCCTCATTTTCCTCACAAGTCAAACTTAAAAGCAGCGACAGCAGTGAGGATAAGCTCAGAGGAAAGCAGCTCAGCCGTCCTTTCAGGCTTGCCTGTGGGGTTAGTTCAGGAAGCTGCAGTACAGTCACAAAAGAAGTTTCTGTCTTTAATTTTGAGTTTTTTAAGCTTCACATTCAGAGCATAAGTTTGGTTATTGTCCTCTGGTTCTGTTCAAAAGCTGTTTTCTGAAGTATTTTAAAAGCAACTGTAGATCTTTCTTCTGTTGGGGCCATGGTTATTAGGTGCTCAGATAAGGTTTGGCAGAAAACTGGGAAAATAGCGCTGGGTTACTTTTTCTACTGACTGCCCATGACAGTTGCAATTACCAGCCATTGTTCCTAGGTGGCTAGAAAGTGGAGAGGATACAATAGTGTGTTGCCCTCTGGGGGTAAATGAATTTGACTTAATGGTTCTTGGGGAGGTCAGACACTATGATTATGTAGTGCCCAGGAATGTGGTTTTCATGCCACCTCAGAAGTTAGACAAAAACAATGGCTTAGCTGTTTGGCAGCTATTTTTTAGTGAGGCAAATAAAGGTGTGAGACTCATGTACGTGTACCCTGTTTTTGATCATAGGGAAGGATAAGTGTGAGATTTTTTTCGTAATCTGAAAATATGAATTTATTCAATTATTAGAGATATATTAATGATAACTTAGAATAATGTATTTGAGTAGAACCTGTGCATATATTAGGATGTGTACAACCTTTATAGTATTTACTGAATCTTGTGGATTGAAACTTTTTTCCTCCGTTACACTGGTCAGTTTTCATTTAACTTTCAATTAGTTCCAGGAAACGTGTGAGTGAAGAGTGAATGTGTGTGTGTGTGTGCATGTGCACACATACACACCTATTGAATATCTAAGACTATAGCCAAGTGAGGACAGAGCTCGGTTCCTCAGTGTTGGTTTCACATTGCTGTGAGTGAATTACTTTCAAGACATTTGGACAAAGATTAAAATTACGGTTTGGCAAAGTGAAAAGAAGTGTTTCTTACTATTTTACTATCTAAAAAGTAAAACCGGTAAACTTTAAAAAATAGGAGAAATAAATAGCATTTGGCCTGGGTAGTTTAGTTATCAATAAATAGTTGTCATACTCACTTAAAGTCAATCTCATTTTTCAAGAAACAATGTGAGTTAGTAAAGGTCACCCACTTCTAAGAGCATAAAATTATTTTTCATGTTAGATTATTTTGCCTGTTAGAATTTATACCATTTTATGGTCTGGTACTTTGGAAATGTGAGGTAATTAGGTTTTAAAGTTACATTAGAAACGATCCTCTAAAAAAAATACACAAAAAGGACACTAGATCCAGTTTTGCAGAACAAAACAGGTGAACCAAAAAGCTGTGCCAATAGCAAACCGCCAATACATGTTATAAATGGATTACCCGCCTGAAGAAATTATTTATTTCTTCTTCTCTAATCAGCCATGTAGAGTAATTGGCCAGTTTGTAGAGATTTTTTGCCCTTATCTATAGCAGAAGCACTGAGTAACCCTTGTGCAAAAGGTGAAGAAATACCTTTTATAGCCTCATAGTTATTGAGAAGGGGAAAAAACAGGGCCTGCACTCCCGTTGGCAACCAACAGTGTCACACATTATTTCAGCTAGCGTGAAATTCCATTACACTGAAGGTCATTGACTTGGCACTTCACCTGAGGACAGTATCTGGGGATCCATGGAGGCTTTGAGTAATCTAAACAAATCATTTGTTTTTCAATAAAATCATTGCAAAATTTGTATTTTACTGACTTCAGTATCTTTGTAGAACTATAACAAAAATATCTGCATGCAAAATTCTCTCAAATGTTTCCATCTTGGTGAGATTCTAAAAGCAGGGCATTGTTTGAAAGATTTTCTGGCTAGGTCACTCAGAAAAGCCTAGATAAGATTCTCTACCTGTCTTACTTGAAGAATTCTTTAGAGCCTGGTTTTTGGTATCCCTGGTAGACCCTTCTCACCCTGCTCACAATGCATTCATTTAGGCCAGCAAAGTGTCGTATGTGGTATTAAGAAAAATGCCAGCCGCAGTTGGTATAATAAAAAATTGACTCTTTTTGAAAGCTGTAATTTTGTTCTTTCTAGAGGATGAGACATAAAGGCAAACACCGAACAGCTCTAGAATGCCAATAATGGATTCAAGGAAATAATCCATTCAGCAATATTATGGCCTTTCAGAACTCATGAATTAAAGACATGCTATGTAGATTCAACATGTGGATTAAAGTAGATCCTCTCCTAGGTGACCTAAAATTTTGAGATAAAAAAGATATCTATATTCCGTATGTGGCTTGAAAGAGATAATTCTGTTTAAATAACAGATGATTTGAAAACAAGCAGGCTTGGAATAGGAATCAGGTCCCAGGTAATAAATGTAGTAAAGGGTCCTTGGAGTTTTGTAAATTTAAAACATGGAAACTAAAATCTCAGCATTTAGATATGTAAGGGTTTGTATCATTTTGAAAGTTGTTTTAAACTCCTTCTTTTAAAATCCAATAACTATCTAAGAATCACATAGTTTGCTAATAGTAACCTTGTGACTACTTCATTTGTACATTAACCTAAAAAAATATATGTCTGCACATTTCTACAAAGGGCTTGGAAATGTTGATAATTTGCTGAGAGAACTGTTGGGTCTTGAATTTTTTCAATACAAGAGTTAGCCATAAGGAAGGTACATAGTATAGTCATTTACTTACTAATAAAGTAAATATTTAATGTTTTTAATCTGCTAAGCTTGTTTTATAGTTCCTCGCAGTTGCTTATGAGTAATGTTTTCACTTTTTGTAAAAACTGCCTCAGAAGAACTGCATAAAGACTACTGGTGCACAGAATATACATTTTTAAAATAAGTTTGGCAGTGTCTTTAAAAGCAGCAAGTGACCTTACCTTTTCTGCAAATCAGTGACTTGCTCTGTCTCAGAATGCCAGAATCCTCATGTCAGTGTATAAACACAGCCGGTGATGGAAAGAGAACAATCAGCCACTGGATCTCATTGATTTGTGTATCGATAATCCAATTCACCAATTAAGAAGTTTTACATACCTTTTAAAGCAGGTACTTAATAATGCATGTTTTAAACAAATACTCTTACATATTTAATCTGGGTTTTATATTTGAAAATAAAAATACACTCTCCTCCACATTTTTCTCATTTAAAAATACAGTCATTCATTTAACAAGTATTCATTTGTGCAAGGGGTATGAAGATACTAAAATTAAAATAATCATAAAAACATTATTTTTTTAATAGATATGGACTCCAAAGCTTACACTATCCAGATCATTAGATAATGGAGTTAACCTAAAACCTTTTTCTCTTTTAAACTAAAATTTCTTTTACTAGGGAAGCATAGTGTAGTCAAAAAGATTTGGAGTCATGTTGCCCTGATTCTTCCAAGGGTTTGTGGAAATCAGGTTACCTCTTATGCTTTATTTCCTTGTCTGCTCATTTAAAAACAGTTGCAGATTACTATTTATTACGTGACATTAATGTACAAGAACTTTATAAACATCTTTATAAAATTATTGTGACAAAGTG